AGGTCCCATTGGCGGTGTTCGCATGCGTCTCCCCCACCCAGCATAGCCCTTTCGTGGCCCCAAGGAGCTCCACCGACGGTTCCAGTGGCGGTGTTTGCACGTGCCTCCCCCACCCAGTCCAGCGCCCCGTGGCCCCATAGGGAGCTCCACCGACGGCCCCAGTGGCGGTGTTCGCGCGTGTCTCCCCCACCCAGTACAGCGCTTCGTGGTCCCATAGGGAGCTCCACCGAAGGCCTGAGTGGCGGTGTTCGCATGCGTTCCCCCCACCCAGTACAGCGCTCCGTGGCCCCATAGGGAGCTCCACCGACGGCCCCAGTGGCACCGTTCGCATGGCGGCCCCGCTCCATGTCGGCACACCTTCACACGCTTCGTGACCCCAGAAGGAGCGCCACCAAAGGCCCCTGTGGCTGCGCCCTTCTGCGTCCCCGCCCCATGTCGGCACACCCTTCACACGCTTTGTGGCCCCATGAAGAGATCCACCGAAGGCGATACCCACAACAGCGGTACCCCCAACTGCATATAGTTGGGCCCTTCGCCAGGATAACTTTTCATTTTTTCCTTTCACGAAATCCGCCTACAGGAGGACATGCCCGATCTAATTCTCGTTGCGCCGAAGGTCTGGGTCTCCCCCCTCGCATTCGACCCGCGGGCCTGTCCAGGGAGGGGCTCTGGCCAAGATCTCGAGGGGAATCTGGCCGTGGCCACGAAGCCTCCCTCAAAGGCCCTGGAAGAGCCGAAGACGTCCAGAAAGCCGGGCGGGTGGCAGTGGGGGGGTGCTAAATGGGGGGTGGAGAACAGGGCCCTAAAGGGGCACTCTAGGGCCCCTTTTGTGCCCCTGCTGGCTTCAAAAGGAGCCCTAAAGTTCCTTTTTAGGACCCTTTTCTGTTCACACCCCATTTAAGTCACCCCCCGTTTCCACCCGCCCGAGAAAGACCGATCCCCGAGCCTCGATCCTCGTGTTTCTAAGGCGGCATGGCCTGGGGGATGATCTCCGTCGGGAAGACGCAGACACCGTTCGGGGCGCTCGTCGAGACCGGCGAGCCTGGGCCCATAGAGGGGCCGCCATCGACGGGAGGTCGGGTTGTCGGAGATTGCGCCGGGCGGGGCTAGGACGAGGACAAATCCGTTCCAGAGCGTTACAGGACGCTCTCAGAGCGTTCCGGAACGCTCTGAGAAGGCTGCGGCGCCCGAGATATCCTACAGAGCCGCCGGATCTCAGAGATTCTCGGTTTATCCTCGCCCGATGTCATCCTCGCGTCTTGGTTTCGTCTCATGGAGGGGGGAGCTGGGAGGGGAATTCTTGACTCTGGACACCGCGCTGGGGGCCACCAGTGTCACTGATAACTCGCGCGTCGGCCCCTGCGGACTGCTCGAAGTGAGCACCCTGAGAGCTGATGTCTCTCGGAGGAGGAGGAGGAGGAAGAGGAGGAGGAGGAGCAGGAGGAAGCAACAAGGGCAGCAGCACCACGGAGTGAGCCAATAGTCCGCACACTGAAGGCTTCAAGCTGTAGGAGGCTGAGGGGGATGAGGACACGAGGGCATGGAGAAGGAAAAGAGGAGGAGGAGACGAGCCGAGACGAGACGAGACGATCCCATGTAATCACCACAGTCAGCCTGAGAGGCAGCCTTACCTGGGATTCTGGGGCTCGGCAACTTCAAACATCACGAAAACGTCAAGTTGAAATACTGCTGCCTGCACTCCTCGAGCGAGGCACTGGCAGAGGAGGAGGAGGAGGAGGAAGACGAGGAGGATCGGGCCGGATCGGAGCTCCGCGAAGAGGCTCCAGCCAGGAGTCCCTGCGAAGGGCGCGCAGCGCTCGATGCAGGTTAAAAAGACCGGAGCAGGACGAGGGAGAGGGGCGCTCCCCGCAGTGTCAATTCATATGTGGAGGGGGTCATGCGGAAGGGATTCGGGACGGAAGGGTGTGTATCAGCATCGTTGGTGCATCGTGGGTTTACGTTGGTCTTCCTCCTCGCTCCTCATCCCTCCCCTCAGCTCCATCAGAATATCTTAATCATCCTCCTCTTCCGCACAAGTCCGCTTATCCTCCCGGTTCTCCTCGTACTACTGCCACTATTACTACGATGACTATGATTATTATTACCACCACCACCACCACCACCACCACCACCACCACCACCACCACCACCACCACTACTACTACTACTACTACTACTACTACTACTACTACTACGACTACTACTGCTACTACTACTACTACTACTACTACTACTACTACTACTACTACTACTACTACTACTACTACTACTACTACTACTACTACTACTACTACTACTACTACTACTACTACTACTACTACTACTACTACTACTACTACTACTACTACTACTACTACTACTACTACAACTACTACTACTACTACTACTACTACTACTACTACTACTACTACTACTACTACTACTACTACTACTACTACTATAACTACTACTACTAATACTACTACACTACTACGACTACGACTACGACTACGACTACGAC